CAAGCTATGGTCTGGGGGGTCTATGAATTTCTTGTACGGTGCTGGGTTCCTAGTGCTGGGAAGGCATGCACTCATGGAAAACCATGGAGCTTTGCCGAGTGTTCCTAGGTGAGCAGTATTAAAGCTGGCACAGGTCAAGTACTGGGTCACAGTCAGCTGTTCAAAGTGTACCTTTAGTCCCAGTCCCGTGGGCTTGAAGCCTAGTGCCTTCAATCGTGACCTGCGTCTGAAACAGAAGGTATGTAGCTTCTTGCAATGTGTTTACCTCAAAGTACTTGCAAAATAACAAACCACATCAGGGCCCAAAACATTAATCAGTCTAAATCCAGTCTCTTTCAGGAAACTCTTGCCCTATTGTGCAATCTCCCTATGAATCATAGAATTGTAGAACTGATAGAGTTGGAAGGGAGCTTAAAGATCATCGAGTTCCAGCCCCCCTGCCATGGGCTGGGACACTGTCTATTAGACCAGATTGCCCAGACCCCCATCCAGCCTGGTCTTTCCAGGGATGGGGCATCCACAGCTTCTCTGGGCAACCTGGGTCAGGGTCTCACCACCCTCACAGGAAAGAACTTTTTCCTAATATTTCATCTACATCTGCCCTCGTTCAGTTTAAAACTGTTATCCCTCACCCTATCACTAAACGGCCTGATAAAGAGTCCCTCCCCATCTTTACTGAAGGCCCCCTTTAGGTACTGGAAGGGGCTCTAAGGTCTCCCTGGAGCCTTCTCTTCTCCAGGCTGAACACCCCTAACTCTCTCAGCCTGTCTCCACGGTGGAGAGGCTCCAGCCCTCTGATCATTTTCATGTCCCTCCTTTGGACTCCAACAGGTCCATGTCCTTCTTATGTTGGGGGCTGCAGAGCTGGATACGGTACTCCAGGTGGGGTCTTAGTGGAGTAGAGAGGTAGAATCCCCTTCCTAGCCCTGCTGGCCACACTTTTTTTGATGCAGCCCAGGATGTGGGTGGCTTTCTGGGCTGCAGGCTCACATTACTGGCTCAGGTTGAGTTTCTTATCCACCAACACCCCCAAGTCCTTCTCCTCAGGGCTGCTTTCAGTCCGTGTTCCACCCAGCCTGTGTTTGTGCCTGGGATTGCCCCAAACCAAGGACCTCGCACTTGGCCTTGTTGAACTTTGTGAGGTTCACACGGGCCCACCCCTCCAGCTTGTCCAGGTCCCTCTGGATGGCATCCCTTCCCTCCAGCGTGTCAACCACTCAACACAGCTTAGTGTTGTCAGCAAATTTGCTGAGGGTGCACTCGATCCCACTGTCCACGTTGCCAACAAAGACGTTAAACAGCACTGGGCCCAGTACTGACCCGTGTCACTGTTCACCACTTGGACATTGAGCCATTGACCACAACTCTTTGAGTGCAGCCATCCAGCCAGTTCCCTATCCACCCAGTGGTCCTTCTGCCAAATCCATGTCTGTCCAATTTAGAGACAAGTATGTCTTGCGGAACAGTGTCAAATCAAGCTTCTACATAAGGCAGTTTTCTTCATCAAACTATGCAGAAGATTCTTGCTTAATAAGCTTCCTATTAAGGTAACAGCTGGGGTATCTGCTTGCACTGGGCAGGATGCCCTGCTCTCTACAAGTCCTGTGTTTTCCCCCATTCCCAATCATGATTCTGGCTGTTGGTATATGAATATCTGAGGCAGAATGTTCTGAGACCAGGAATAGTATTGGTAGCCTACACTGAGCACCACAAATGCCACATCTTCTCAATTCCACCCCTTCAAAATCAGGGCATCCCAGAAAGCAAAAGGAAGAGGAGGAACCACCTGTAGTTTTAGATCTATCTAATACAGGCCCTGAACACTTGGGTAGCCGTGGGGGATGCAGGTCGCAGACTACACCGCGTGTGCAGTTCTCTCTCCTGGTGTCCTCATTCACTTCTGCGTTCCAGGGGATAGAAGAACAACTAAAGAAGAGAAAACATGATACCACGCGGGTGAGCGGCGGTGCGGTCGTGCAGGCCATTCTCAGAACAGATGAAGGATGGGCTGCAGCCTCTGATTCCCGGAAAGGTGGCTTCCCTGCAGGCTACTGATGTGGCTCGGCTCCTTTTTTCAGTGGTCTAGTGACACTGAGGTGTGTTTGGGGGGAAGATCCTTTAGGTCTGCAACTCAGGGACATCTCACAGGAAAGAGAACAAATTTACCTGTGGTTCTGTTGACAGAGCTGGGACAGTCAGTTCTCTACAGCCATGACCGAAATGCCTCATGCTACAGCAGCCCGCTAAGGCACGTCTACCAGGACGTGCAGTACTTACTTGAAGAGTCTGTTCTGCCTTAAAGAGTTTGTTCCCTGCCTCCTCTCCATCCCATGAAGACAGATCGGGTACCCAGAGTTTCTGAAGAAGGTCCAGCTCACTTAAGCTGGAGGAAGTGTTTCTCCTGCAGAGTGTCAGCTCCCAGGAATGTCCCTGTCACTGCTAGAGAAGAGATCTGTTTCCTGTTGAGTAGACGGGGGTTTCAGGACTCTGGGGACTGGGTTTTCTAAGTTACAAACTAATAGATCTGTGCCATAGCAGGAAGCCCAGCTCTAGACTGGGATAAGCCTTCACAAACTCACTGCTCGCTCTTTTAACAAGAGATGTTTCTGCTTTTCACTTCAGTTGATTATTGGAGATGAGTGGGTAAATGGGGAAATGGCTTCAAACGTTTTTATATTTCTGTTGAGAAGGTCTAAAGGGAAGATGCTACCTGTAAAACTCTGAGCACAACTAAAATAAATAAATATGGAGTCACACATTTTTCTTGCCTGCACAGTCGCTACTGCAAAAAGGGATGGCAAGAGTCTGCGTGAAAGAAGCTCTCCTGAGATTTTTCTCTGTTCTTTGCTCCTTTGATGAAGCTATAAGTCAAAAAAAAAAAAAAATATCCAAAGCAAGTTTGTTTTTGTCCAGTTTGCTTTTTACCACATCATACTGCAGGCCTGAATTACTGGAGTCGGAGGAAATGAAACCTTTAAGAAAAGGGCATGCTGCAGTTCCTCTTGCTTGAAGGTAAGTTACCATAATCAGACAATTAATGGCCTCTCAGCAACCTGTATCTGCTATGGAACAGCTAAGAGTGACTGTAGCTATGCGTGAGGGGGTTTGGGTGTTCACCTACCAGCACAGACTAATACATCACAACAGATAAACTCAGCCTAAGATCAAACCTGAGTGTTCCAGGATGTTGTCAAGCTCTAGGAATGTTTACAAAATCCTGGAAACACAAGTAGCAGTGGCTGAACTCATTGGGCTTGTTGGAAATGTCCTGTCAGTTTCTAACAACCTTAAAATACACAACGCATTGCAGAGAAAATGAAAAGCTGAAATTCTAGGCACCAGACGCCCTCTCTTTCCCAGTAGTGTCTGGAACTGGGGGGAGTCTAGTTTCAAGGAATAAAGTGGTAGCTAGATCATGCTTAAATCAAAGAGTTAAAACTTTGACACATGTGTTGCTTATATCACTTTGACTAAATGAGTTGTTTTTACCAGAAGTTGCCTGGGATGTGCTCTGTGCTCCTTTTCCCTGAGGTGTTGCTGCTGCCGCGTTGGGTGCAGGCAGGGCAGTGACTGTAAATACCTGGAGTCATTGGGCTCCTTCAAGAATGCGACTGGTTTGGGGCAAACCTGTATCCTTTAGTCACTGAACTGAGACTTTGACTTTTCTACTTCTTGCAGTCCCACAGTAGGTGCCACTCCGTGGCTGCTGCTGTTTGCATCCAGTTTGCTGGGCGTTTTAGGAAGATTTGATACAAGTTTGTGTATGGAACAGCATCACTATTGTGAAAATATTTGTTGGAAATACCTGGCCCTTTGGACTTAGTGAGTTCAAGCTTTCAATAAGCATTTTGCTGTGCAGTAACTTTGTTTATTTCTCAGATCACACTTGGCCAGGAAAGAGCTCAGCTCATCCTAAGTTAGTCACAAGTACAACAGAAAAAGCTTGTGCTCTGAAACTGGAAGGTGAGTCTTTTCTGGGAAATGACTGTTGGGCAAATGTGCTTTCTGAAACAAGTCTGAGTAACTGCTGCTGGGCTGCTTCTACCAGTCCGTGATACAGCAGTTGTAGTTATGTTCCTGAATTTCTTCTAGCTAGTCAGAAGACTCCCCTATTATTTATAACCTATGTTACAAAACTTCCCTTATGGAAAGCCATGACTAAACACGCTTCTGTTGAAAACTGTTCCTAGAAATGCATTTGAATTCTTGACAATCTGCAGAAATCACTTTGTTTCAGCATTATCACTTCAGAGGACTGATTAGTTAAACTGGGTGAAGGCTTGCATTTACATCCTACATTTAAAAAAAAAAACACCCAACAAAACAAGTATGGGTACTTCTACAGGCTGTAATTATCTGCATCTCATTTGGAGATATCTGTATGTGGGGCATGTGCTTCTGCCACCTGGTACCACATCCCACTGCTCACACTGCATTGAGGCTGTCTGTATATCAACAGGCAAATGTCAGTCAAGGGTTCATACTGTAAAACCTCCTGATTGTGCCCTGCAGCCCATTCAGCTTCTCTGGATGTTTCAGCTATGAGAAAAGACTTCTTCCTGCTCCTGTCCCACCCCCTGGAATGCAACCACCTCCCCCCTCTGCTTCTGAGCAGGGACAGAATGTCTTAGTGTAAGCAGGGCTGGGAGAACAGGACGTGTCGCTGTGACCGATTCCAGCTGATTTGAAAGGGAGCTGTATTGTTGAAACGCAATTATCCAGATCATGAACTGGGGAGTTCACCTCTTTCCCCCCTCCATTCTTCAGTCTAACATTACTAAAATTTTCTATTCGCAACCGTCCACCTCTGGAAGGGCTACAGGGATGTGCCAAAACACGCGGGAGACAAGTGGCACATGCAGTTGTCTGCACAGTTCTTCAGTTTCTCCAGCAGCGTATTCAGTCTTCAGAATGATCAGCTGTTACTGCTGGAAATACTTGTGTGAAAGTCCTCTCTCAAACAACTGCTTGTGTGTTAGGCAATGGTTTTAGAGGAGAAATTTTCAGACAGGTATAAAAACACTTTATTAAAAATATAATTTAAAGATTTCATTAGAAAATAGAGCAGCCTCTGTACAATGATGCTTTAAAAGTCCATGTAAGTTGACAAAGTACAAAAATAATGCTCTCCTGTTGGCAAGAGCATGAATGAGAAGGACCAAACTGGGAGGCTCTTGACCCAAGCAAATTTCAGCAGCGGTGAGGAGGTGGCATGGCAAGAGCAGAGGAGCTAAGGGAGGTACTACAACTCAGCTTCACCACATCTTTTGCTGGTGATGACTACGGGGCTGGAAGTCTCCGCCCCAGTGAGCCATCTGCACTCTCATTCCTGTCTTGCAAATTAAAGCTGTGATGGGTTTTATAACTGCTTAATTGGCTCAGTTTCAATGTTAGTAGCAAAGTAGTTAAATTGCAGTGAGCGCTGGACTACAAATATTCCCATGTCTTTGTGGTGGGAAGTGGCTGTGACACTACTCCACAGGCTGCATTACTGAGGTGTGCTTTACTCTCAGGTACGTCAGAAGTGGAAGGACTTTGAGGCTCGGTGCCTCGGTTTTCCTGCTAGTGGAACATGGTGGAGCATGGCCCAGGGTGCTGCTGAAGGCTACCCTGGAGCCTGATAGGGAAACAAGAACTGCTCTCCCTGTGTCCAGCCAGTGCCCTTCGGGGTTGCTTTTTGAAGCTCAGTTGGGCTCGCTAGAAATAACGACAGAACTTGCTAAAGCAGCATCCGGTCTATTTAGTCTGTCTGGTCTGAAATGTGGGCTGCAGGTGGTGTCTGGTGCCCATAAGTGCTTCCCCTGTGACAATTCTGCAGTTGGGGTGTTATTTCTGACACTAGAACCAATGCGCCCAGGAACTGGCAGCTGAGGTAAGGGAGTTAATGAAAGTAGAAAACTTCTGCAAATTATGTAGATTGAATATGACTGTCAGGTAACCCCTTCCAAATGAACATAAATACTGCCCATTCTCTTTCTCTAGTCACATTCAGCAGTTCTGTAGTGAGTAAGCAGCTCTGATGGAGAAAACAGTAGTCCTTCCTAAATTATGTGATTTAAGATAAATTCCACTTGAATGCGGAAGGAGGGGAGCAGTGTGGGGAGCTGGCTCTATATGGAAGTAACTTGTCTTCCAGATACATGATTAAGTGCTTGTGGTTATGATCTAGTAACTTCTTCATTAAGCTCTGATGCAGCTGTGGTCACATGATAGTCCTTAGTGTACGATTTCTGAAGGCAAACACATGTTTGGCTCCAGTCAGCTTCACTCAGACTATCATTAAAATGCAAGTGAAGGCTGAGATTTTGACAAGCTGATGGCTTTATTGGAACAACTTCATGAGTAAGAATGTAGACATAAAATCTATCTGGCTTTGTGTGCAAGGGTGTGTGGATGGCCTTGTTTTGGTTTGGTTTTTTTAATAGTGTACGCTTAAATACTTGTTATGGTGTTTACAAAGGGATTTTGTTTGTTTGTGTACTAGGAATACCACGGGCTGTGTGTGAGGTAGGAACTAACATGCAAAGGGGAGGGCTCTGCTAGTGCCTTGCTCTGGTTTGGCTTTGCTTTCAGAATCACACAATACTGTCTGTGCCCATAGGGGAGCACAGCTCATGAACTTTCAGAAAATGGAGTTGTTTGGGATCTTGAGAACTTGCCCTTGGGTATTTAAGAAGAGCTTTGTTGTTTGGGTTTTTTGGTGTTTTTTTTTTTTTTTTTTCTTAAATGTTTCATTCTCTTGGCCATTTTGAGCAGGGCAAGGTTATGGAGGAACTGCAAAAGACCTTTTGTGTCCAGGTGCATGTGTTCAGGTCTCTCCTCCAGAAGTCTCCTCTCTCTGTGATAGTTCTTAAGTAGTCCTACAGTTTCCTCCTTCTCATCTTAAGGGAACACCAGATATTAGTTGTGGCAAAGGGGGAGTTGGAGCATGTCCTTAGGCTATGGGAGAAAAGCATTCTGCTAACGCCTGGCAGCGCTGCATCATTTCTCAGCAGCCCTGGTGTTTGCGTGGCCAGGCTGAGCTCGTGGCTACAAACGAAGCCTCCTCATCCTTTGCCTTTTGAAGAAAATTATAAAGCTTCCAAAGCCAGCACGTCTTCCCCTCCAATCCTTGCCTGCCTTCCCAAACGACTTACCTTCTGCGGGCACTGAGGAGGGAGAAGTGGCACAGACTGGGACTCCGCTCGCCACAGGGAGAGGTGCCCCTGGGGGACTGAGCCGAAGCCTGTCCACCCCAGGAGCAGGGAACTCACACTGCCCCACGGGAGGCTTGTTCTCAAAGGCACCCGTGCGTAGGGTTGAAGGAAGCTTCGGCGCAGTTACTTTGAGCTTGTGGGGTCCTTTGCATCCCCAAGGCAGAGAGCAGTGGGGCAGCAGACTTGTGCTATGGGGCGCTGATTTCATCTGCCACCTCTGGGAAAAGTGGGGCTTCTGTGGATGCGAAAACCGTGAGGGGGGAGTGTGCTCCCTTCCCTTTTCAAACCCACCCCCTAAGCCTGGATGCTTAAGATTCTGAAATCCTGACCCTACAGAGACTTCTTGTAATCCTGATAACCAAACCAGTTACTTATTTCACATTGCTGAGCCCCAGTAATAATAAGCTTATTGTGGAAACAGCCTGAAAGGAACCAATTCTGCTCTTAGCTGAGGATCTACAGATACAGGCGGGTCATTTCACAGTGGATTTTGGACCAGTTTTCCTTTCCTGCTTTGTATTCTCTTATTCTGAATAGCTGATGTGCTCAAGAAATATATTTTTCTGAATATCAAATATGTAACGGAGGGTATAGCGCTAAGAAAGGGTGGCTGACCTGTCCTTGTATTGCCTGGGGGTGACTTGCAGTCTGCTGGAATTAGGTGTAATCACAAGTGTTGCCCATACTCTTGGAGGCATCCACATGGGAACAGGCAATATTGGCATGTCCAAGCCAAAGCATGTTCTGAATCCATTATCTCCTGTGGTGGTGTGATGGCACTTCATGCTAATATCCAGCTGACTTCCCCAGCTTCCTTTTATCAGAGTAGGCAGAGATGCATTTTCCTTCCTTGGAAACTCCCTGCACAACATTCATTGCAAATTTAGGTTTTTCTTCTTTGTGTCCTCTTTCCAGCAGGCCGCTCCTAACCTCCTGCAGGCGGAAGAGAAGAGGAAATGGAGTCAATGGGGCAGGGGCCTGAGGTTTTAGCATTGCCAGGTGTGAAAATGAAGGATGTGTATGTGGGGTCAGGTTGAGAAAGTGAGATTTAAGCAAGAAGGAGGTTAGCTAGAAGCAAAATGCAGATTATTCAGGAGAGTTACAGAAGCAATTTCCTTCTCACCAAAAGGAGAAGACAAGAAGATCCAAGGGAGGCCACTCACCTCACTGAAATGTTCCTCAAACAGGACACTGACACCGTTAGTATGCATGATGGGAGCTGAAATGGCATGTTCCAAGTCATAGCCAAACCACAGCTTGTTTATAATCGCCTGCAAGGAAACAAATCCCACAAAGGCTGACCACCTGCAGACACTAAGTAAGAAGCTGGATGACGTGCTGCCATCCTCTACACTGCTGTGGGGTCAGACCAGGTCTACTGCAAACCCCACCTGCAGGATGGTGCAAACCTGGACTATAGAGAGGTGGCACTGAGTGAGACCAGAAGTCCTATGGCCTCATGTCCTGTCCTCGTGGTGACCAACAGCAGCTGCTCAGGGTGACACACAATGATACTTCCCTGAGCCTAAGCAGTGTCCCTGAATTCAATAGCTACTGATGGGTATCTTGTATCTTTCTTTTGATGGTTGTTCTTTCTGTTTTCAGATGAGGCCCTAGCACAGGCCATGCTTCTCTCCAGTTGAAGAAAGATGAAGAAAAAAAAGAAATCTTCTTTTTCCTCTTGTGGCCTTATCTGTTTTAATTTCTTGACTGCTGAAGAAGATGTTTGTTAGACTTCATGCTTCAGCAAGCTCTTTCCCATTAAGATGTTACTCTGTGCATCTGTGTGGTGGGAGTTTCCTGTTTTTCTTGTTCTTTCCATCACGTAGCTTATCAGCTTATTTTAAGGGCCTCCAGGTTTTAGGCAATGCCTAATAGCTTCCTTAACTTGCTATTTAATTATTCTAACTTCTTCCCTTTCAAAAAAGAATTGAGCGACGCATCTGGCACTTGCTCTGGCAGCCTTTAGTGACTTCTAAATCACAAATAAAACAAGGCATGGAGGAGTCAATACCTGAGGAGAGCTGGTGGGACTGACCATGGCTGGAAACCTGGGAGGGCTGAAAGAACCAGCAATTGCTGTGGGTTCTTCCACCTCCTCTGTTCCTGGTCCCTCCTGGTGGAAGTGCAGTTCAGCAGCAGAGATGGAGCTGCCCCTGCCCTTGCCACAGAAACGCTAGAGGCAAGAAGGTGAGGACAGACACTGCAGCAGGCCCTCTTCACTGCTGCCCTCCCTATGGCAGTACTAGCAGCAGCAACATCATTCCTTTTGTTCAGGACAGTGTGTGCTCCCCTTGCTCAGTGGGAGGTGTTGCTGTGAGGTTCCTGCTCACTCACCATAGCAGTAGCACTGATAATCCAGCCCCCGCCTGCTCCTCCGATCACCAGCGTGTCTCCTGTCTGGGAGATGAGAATGGAGGGCACCATTGCTGAGGGAGGCTTCTCTCCTAAAGCAGAGGCAGACAGTGTTATCCTTCCCGTGTGGCTCTTAAGGGGGCTGGAGAGACACACAAGTTTATCTACCCTACCCTTCTTGCATTCCCCATGAAAAGCCAAGCTGCTGCTTATTCCTCAAGAAGCTGAAGTCTTCCAGAAAAACTAGCTTTCTTGTGCCCTGTCTCACACGAAACTGGACCTTTATGGCACAGGCTAAATAGGAAGCATCTCTTAGTGTAGGGCATCCTACATTCGGGACTTGCTGCAGCTCTTTCACCCCAGCTGGGGAACCACTAGCAGCAATCTTGCCATCGCAGCACTGATGGCTCTCTTATGGCAGACCCAAGGGAGATCACATCAGGGATAGCTTATTTCATGGAGCAATGTCTCTGCATCAACACTGCTGTGTTGCAGAATTCAGTGTAAGCCTGTAGCATTGGTGATTGCACAGCAACTGTATACCTTTTTGTAGATGAGCCTAAAAAGCCAGGAAGCTTGTCTTAGCAGTAGTTTCTTCACATCTTCCCTCCCCTCCCTATCAATCAGCTTTTTTTTTTTTTTCCTTCTGTTTTTATCTCCATTTTCCCTGGTCAGAAACCAGAACTCCCATATTTCCATGTAAGGGCATATGTGAGTGGACAAGACACACTACAGGGCTTTATCCTCTGTTAGTCTAAACCAAACATGCTCTCCTCCAGACCTCAGAAAGGAAAGAGTATCTGCCATTTACAGTCCCTGCATATCCACCACCTGGCCCTGTGTTTTTATTTTGAGGGTGAGAATACTCACCTGGTTTAATGCTTCTGTTTGCTATGCAGAAATCAGCAAGTTCATTATTTAAAATGATCCCAGTTTGGTTAGAATACACAAAGGAACCAAACCTGCAGTGGGAGAAAGAAGCAGCCTTTCAGTGCCCGGTGCTCTCCTGCTGTGGATGACATGACCTGAACATGGCACCCTATCTCCTCCCAGCCTGCGACTGCCCCAGCCAGGGTGTCCAAAAGGTCTTTGTGCTGCTGTGCTGGAGCCAGAGAGAAGCTCCCTGCTGGTAGGGCTTGTGGGGAGTTGTCCAACCCCCAGAAACTCAGCAGACCTCGGCAAGTTGTTACATCTTTATGACTTGTGATGTTCCTTTGAACTGGTGCACAAAGACCTTTGCTGGCAGGTGAAAAAGACATGCACGGGTAAGAGACTGCCCATTTCTGGTAAACAGCCCTTGGATGTGCCCTGTGAACCTGACACGTGGCCTGTGTGACCCCATCACCGACCCCTCGGCTACTCACGGGTAGTTGATGGTGCTGGTGGCGGACACGGCACTGCCATCTGCAGCGAGCACAGAGATGTGGCTTGTGCCCTTACTTTTGTACTGGTGGTTATAGATGGCCTCCAACAAGTTGTAGTGGTCGAGTGGGTGGTCACCTCGGGCATTTATTCGGCTTCTGGCAAGCTCAGCAATCTGGTCAGACAGCATGGTCCCCAGTGGCACCTGCAATCGCAGCAAGGACACTGAACTTGTGTCACCAGAGCAGAGACATGGCTTTCTCTGGGGCGCTAGGAAGCCAGGGGGGATTCAGCCCTAGTGCTCAGAGCCTGTGGAGCTGCACTGGCAGGACTGAGCCCCAGCCTGAGTCCCCAGGCCACGCTCATCACGGAGCATGAAACCAGCTCAGTACTCAGGCAAGAGCATGTGCACATCCTTTATCAGGCGCATGAGCAGAAGCCTGCAGCTGAACACAAACTGCCCATGAGGCAAATGACCCAACCCTGCCTCTGCTTTGGCCAGCTGAGCAACGTTGCTCTTTACTAGCAGTTCTAATTATTGTCTTTCTTTCCATGGCTGCAAAGCAGGAGGGTGTCAAAGCATCGCTGGGTTCTGTAGCATTGTGCTGGCAGGCAGGAGAGTTGGGCAGTGGGTCACCTGCTTGCGGGCTTAGCACGAAGGCTAAAATGAGGCTAAAATGCAGATTTTGGAAAAAAAAAAGGCAGGAAATTGACTTCCCTGCTTCCCCTCTGCTAAGCAGCAGTGTAGAAGCAGCTGTTAGTGCCACCCTTGTGCACCATGCCAGCTCACCTGTGTGTCGGAGAAGGCCGGGTCACTCATAAGGGGTCTTAGCATATTGCCAAACTTCAGGGCCTCTGCAATGCGATGGTAGGTGTCCACCTTCTCCTTGGGTGTCGCCAGTGATGCTTCATGGAGTTTATACTCTATGGAGCAGGATGAAGTAATTTTGTTAATAGACCCAAGGCAATGTTGTTTCAAGAACTGTAAAAAAAAAAAAAAAAAAGTGGAAAGGAACCTCCTTTTCCCATCCCAGTTCTTATCAAGTTTCCCCTATGGTTTAGCAGGATGTGGGCACAGAAACAACCAAGTACTAATTTCTGCTGTGACTTCAATTTCTCTTGAAGCCTTGGGAAAATTGTGTAGCCTCTGGCCTTTGCAACAGCCATGGTGATGCTGATCCACTGTAAAAATGAGCCAGCTGCAGAGCATGGTCACACTGCTGCTGTGGGGCCCACTCTGGCTCACCACCTCCATTTCTGCCCATTATTTTTCTACTGATCTGGAGCAACACTCTTTGCACAGCTCCTGTTTTACCTTCTAGTTTAAGTTTTAAAGCTTCTAGTTTACCTTCTAGTATCTTGAGGATGAACATGAGCACAGCACCTCCCATGGGTGGTCCAGGAGAAAACACTGTGGTGTGACTGTTCAGGGTAATGTTCAGAGCTGAGGACACCTCTGCTTTGTAAGTCTGAAGGTCCTCCAGTGAGATAGTGGACCCTTCAACAGAAAACCAGATGGGTAACTGGCATTAGCACATTACCTTTTACTAGGTGTAGAAAGAGCCATCCCTGTATACTCCAAATTCCACCAAGCACAGCAATGTCATCTACCACCAAACCCCAGGACATCACAAAGCTGAAGGGAGTTATGGAGGCCAGTGCATGAGCACCATGGATGAATGCCAGAGCAGTAGGTGGCTCTCAGCCCTGCTGCCAGGCCTGACTTATAAGAACTGCTGAAAGGTGGTATATGCCAGGTGTCACCCCAAGAGACACACAAATGGCACATGTTGGCTTTCCCCTAATACCAACTTACTGTGAGCCCACTGCATGGAAACGGCCTGTCTGTCAGTATTAACTATAGCCATTACTTACCAGCCTTCCTAATGTCCTCCACCAGGGCCTGTCCTATATGTCCCTCATAAAATGCTGTAGCTCCATTTTCTGCTACAGCTCTCAGTGTTTGCTGCAGTGCTGGCCACCTGAAGGGCTCTCCACGCTTCAAAAACCTTTCACCATCACATAGCAGCGGGCTGTTAAAGAAGAAAGTCCACCAGTTTACAGCATGTGCTTATTCTGTACCCAGTGCCAAACTCTTTTTCCTACCCAAGGCTGATCTGGTTTCCAAACACGCATTGTATATTTTCTGAGCTGGTGCTACACTGCAGCCTACGTGGAGAAAAGTTCTTCTCAGCCAGTTGCTACTCGTAGCACCAGGCACTTTTTACTGAGAAAAAGCTTCCCCCAGAGGACCCAACACTTTGACCCTGGCTCTTCCCAATGAGTGTCTGCTGTAGGGCCGTGCTGTCAGGGGACGATTTCCACACAGATGGAGGCAGGCCACATACAGCCAGCTCCTTCCCATGAGCAGATGTGCTTAGCAGCCAGTTTTTCTGTGCCAAGCCACTCTAAATTACAAAAAAAAAAAAAAAAAAAAGAAAAAAAAAGTTGCTGACACAAAAAGAAAAATTAAAAAAATCTTTCTGTTATTCTTTCCTTCTCTATAGCAAGTATTTACTGAACAGAAGTCGCAGCAGTGGCCTGCGCTCCATGTCAGCATGTCAGAGGAAGGGTCTGAAGCTGAGGGAGCAGCAGCCCTCAGACTGCAATTTAATTTATGGGTCTTACCACAGGCTTTTTCCTGGCCTGGCAAAGATTTGGTGATTCATTATTTTGTCCATAACTGGGGAAATGGTAAGTGGATCTGAAAGGAGCTTGATGGTTGGTTCAAACAGGGCTTTCCATGGTAGGCGTCCATGTCTCCTATGGGCTTCTTCATACCCCCGAAGTTCTCCTGGTACAGCAATCCAGCGGGAACCTGAAGAGCAGAACAGCAGTGTCACACCCGGTATAGTCATTGGCCCACTTCACCTCTCTGAAGGACTCCAATGGAGATGTACATTTGCAGAGGCAGGACTAAGGCCTCTAAAAGCCAAATTAGTTTTTTTATTTCCTTTTTCTATTCATATATTCCTCCTACTACCTAACAGAAAGGGCATAGAGAAGCTGGAGCCAGACTTGGAGGTACATGTTCATGGATTTGACAGTGTTGGAAGGGACCTCTAGAGATTGTCTAGTCCAACTCCCCTGCCAAAGCAGGGTTGCCCAGAGCACATCACTCAGGGCTGCATCCAGGTGAGTCTTGAAAATCTCCAGAGAAGGGGACTGCACGACCTCGCTCAGCAGCCTGTTCCTGGGCTCTGGCACCCTCACTGGAAAGAAGTTCTTCCTCATATTTGAATGGAACTTCCCATGTTCCAGCTTGTGCCCGTTTCCTATCACTGGATACCACTGAAAAGAGTCCAGTTCCATCATCCTTCAACCCACCCTTTAGGAACTTGTAAACATACATTAGGTCTCCCCTCAGTGTTCTCGAGGCTATAGAGTCCCAGCTCTCTCAGCCTTTCCTCGTAAGGGAGATGCTCCAATCCCTTAATCATCTTAGTTGCCCTACGTTGGACTTTCTCCAGTAGTTCTCTGTCCCTCTTGAACTGGGGAGCCCAGAACTGGATACAGTACTCCAGTTGTGGCCTCACCAGTGCAGAGCAGAGGGGGAGAATGACCTCCCTCGACCTGCTGGTCACACTCTTCCCTACGCAGCCCAGGATTCCATTGGCCCTCTTGGCGACAAGGGCACATTGCTGGCTCATGGAGAGCCTGCCATCCAGCAGGACTCCCAGATCCTTTTCCTCAGTAGTACTTCCCAGAAGATCCACCCCTAACCTATATAGGTGCCTGGGGTTCTTCCTCCCCAGGTGCAGGACCTTACATTTGCCCTTGTTGAACCTCATCAGGTTCTTCTCTACCCAGCTCTCCAGCCTGTTCAGGTCCCGCTGGATGGTGGCACAGCCCTCTGGAGTGTGGGCCAGCCCTCCCAGTTTGGTATCATCAGCGAACCTGCTGAGGATACACTCTGTCCCCTAGTCCAGGTCATTGCTGAATAAGATGAACAGGACTGGGCCGAGTATTGACCCCTGAGGGACACTGCTGGTTACAGGCCTCCAACTTGACCCTGCCCCATTAGTGACAGCCCTCTGAGTTCTGTCACACAGCCAGGACTCAATCCACCTCACTACCCCCTCATCTAGCCCACACTTCCTTAATTTTCTAATGAGCATGTTATGAGAGACAGTGTCAAAAGCCTTGCTGAAGTCAAGGTAGATGACATCTGCTACTCTCCCCTCATCCAGCCATCTAGTTATAACATCATAGAAGGCTATCAGATTGGTCGAGCATGATTTACCCTTGGTAAATCCATGTTGACCACTTCCAATAACTTCTTTATCTTCAATGTGTTTGGAGACGACATCCAAAACAAGTCATTCCATTATTTTCTCAGGGACAGAGGTGAGACTAATTGGCCTGTAGTTTCTTGGATCCTCCTTGCCCTTTCTGTAGACTGGTGTGATATTTGCCTTCCTCCAGTCCTCAGGCACTTCTCCTGTTCTCCAAGACCTCTCATAAATGATGGAGAGTGGCTCAGTGGTAACATCTGCCAGTTCTCTCAGCACTTGTGGGTGCATCCCATCAGGACCCATGGACTTATGGATGTCTAGTTTGGCCAAGTGGTGTCTAACCCAGTCCTCCCCAACAGAGGTAATGCTGCAGCAAGGGAGATGCCAGCTGGGCATAAGATAAAAAGCACTCATGCGGAGCCTGGTCAAATGCTAGAACAAGTGAAGCTGTGAAAGTCTCCATCCTTAGAGAAGCTCAAAAATGTGCCAGGACAAGGGCCTGAGCTAACTCTGAGATCACTCTGCTTTGAGCAAGAGTTGAAGCAGAGACCTCCAACTGCCCTTTCTAACCAGAATGGGTCCTGATTCCTTTTCAGGCTCTTCTTCCAAGGATAAGAACATCTCCTCTAGGAACTAGGACACTCCCCAAAAGAAAATGTGCTAGGGAAGAAGAATGAAAGCAGCAAGAAATGTGGAGAGATCCAAGATCTGCTGCTAACGTGAGAGCACCTGCTGCCAAGCTGGTAACAGCAAATGGACATGGGGCCTCCTCGGATGGGAGCAAGGTGGTAACTGAGCTAAGCTGGAGCCCAGCAACTCAACTGATGCTGCCAGGTTGCTTCCCTAGTGCAATGGGCAAGCGCGCTAGATTAAGTTCTTTCGTTTCCAGAAAGTCTGAGTAGCTATTGACCTTATTTTTCTCTGTAAGAACTGCTGGGAAATTTGTGCTTTGGGTAATCTGGTCTTGAACTGCACAGACTTCTTATAAAGAGTCAGCAAGGTCCTTGGTTCCCCCACCCTGAGCTTTGTGCACTGCACACCCTCATAGTTCAGCCTATGTCCTTACCAATGGGCAAACCGCTGGTACAGCCAGACAACAAATCCTGGTGAAACACTCGTGGGACTGTCTCGCGGGCATTGATCACCTCGACTGTTCCTAGAAAGGAGAAGGGGGAAATGCATAACGTTGTCTTCCTGAAGCAGGTGAACATCACATTTCAGCCAGCTGTGAGCACTGCACGGGCTGCGAGCCCAGGGCACTGTGCTGAGGCGCCCTGAAGCCCTGTGCCACGTGTCGAGCACGCTTGGAGGGCCAGGCTGCAGTCGCTGCAAACGCTGTTGTTTGCCCCCATGCATTTATTTAGAGCAAACCCAGCAGTGCCTGCCTAGAGGCAATGAAGGTACAGGGCCTGTCTCCAGCCAGTTAACGTCCCCGTCCCTCACAAGGCTCCTGGGCCTAGGACAAGGGCTGGGACATGCTGCTTCACATCTGATTGCAGGTTCCTGCTCTTCCTCTACAGGTGGGACATGTCAGAGACATAACATGAGCCTCATGCTCTGAGGCAGGCTATTCTCCAAGTGATGGTGAGGCATGTCCCTCATGTTTGTAAGCAGAATGCTGATACTGAAAGACTCTCTGTGTATCAGGAAGCTTGAAAGGAAAAAAACAAACACCAAACCTAAAGAAAAAAGCCCACTTGCATACACTCAGATTTCAGGTCAAACCTGTTATTTCGCTTCCTTCTCGACCTTATATTTATCTTCTCCTGTCACAGGCCACAGAGCCAGCTGTGCTGCAGGAACACCCAGTGCTACCTGGTGTACCGGGCACCTGAGCCGTGCACGGCCATGTGTGCTCTGTGCAAAAGGGTAATGCAGGTAGCAGAAGAGGACTGTTGGCATGAGACAAAGTTACATGGCTCTGCCAAAAGGGGAAAAAAAAAGAAAAATAAAGGTGTTTTGCCAAATTATGCTATTGCATAAGATACACCCAGACATTTCCAGACTCGTGACCCTGTAAGACTACTTGGCAGGGTTTTTAAGACTACAGTATTGTTATTGTGTTCTTTGTTGCTTTTACTATTTAGATCTATGAGCTCTGGGGGTTTTTGGGAGCCAAGGCAGTTTAAAAAAAAGTATATTAAAAGCATAAAAGCAAGAACACAACTCTAGGGGTTAAGCCAAACACAGAAAGGCTTCCCAGCAGGCCCTGAACCGTGCTAGATTTAGATTTCTGAGGTGCCTAAGTCTCACCGCCGCTTTGGGGAGTCCTCCCCATGCCAGTGAGGGCAGCGTGTGATGCAGCCCCATGTCGGCAGGCACTGCCTGAGCTGCTGGGGCAGGACGAGCCCCTCAAGTCCCAGCCCGAGGGCTCAGCCCCACATTGCTGTGCTCTTTGCCAGCACAGGCACCTCACGCCGCTCCCCTCTGCCCCCACGGCAGCCCAGCAGCCGGCTCAGACAGCACCACTCACACCTTGCTGCACTGGGAACTACACGACTTTGACTTTGCCTCTCCTGCCCCCTCCAAAGCAATCCCAAGTTGTATTATTTCAAAGTCAGTTCATTTTAAATCCAAAGCTGCTCCTCCCCCCAGGACATGTTCTTAGGGTGAAAAGATGCCCTCCCTTTAACGGATGCTTTGGGTTAAGAGCAAAAGCATAGTTTGTGATTAGAGGATTCAGCTATTATATTCAAAAAATTGCTCTGAGAGAACATGAAGGATTCTGACTTCTCCAGATCAGCTGAGTGTCTGCAGGGAGATGGGGCACCATGGGGAGGCCAGGGCTGGCCCATACCTGTGCTGGCATTATAGATGGTAAATACGACCCCACCGCCCAGGCCTGAACTCTGAGGGTTCATCACTGAGGTGCAGATCAAGCCAGCGATGGCAGCGTCCACGGCTGTGCCTCCGCTTTTCAGGATGTCCCTGTGGTGGAAATGGAGAGAAAAAACAATGTTAAAATCCAGGGATGACAGAATGGAGGATCCATAGGAAAACGTCTCCCTGGGACACTTGCAAGGCAGCCCCAGCTTGAGGAGAGCAGCTAGCAGCTGGAGAAAGATATTGGCAGCAGTGAGGGGGGGTAAGGGTGCACAAAGGCACCTTCCTTTGTGGAGTGAGAAAGAGAAATTAGTGGGAAGAAAGAGAGAGTTTGTAGGAGGGAAGAGCAGCCAAGGGCCCAACCTGTGCCAGGCTGGCCCTCCTCTGGGCAAAGAGTGATGGGACAGAGAGAGCTGCAGCCGCTCACTTTTGTCAATGCTGTTGACAAAAAGGGACAGCAAGGGCTCCCAGACATGGAGGAGGATGTTCTCAGCAGAGGAGAGAGCTTTCCGCATGCTGGGAACCAAATAACTGATTTTTAACTTCCCACCTACTGTTCCCCACAAACAGGCATATGCTGGTCAATAGGGCAGGGGCACTGAAGCAGAATGACGGGTCCATACGAAGCAAACCCCCGAGAGTTAACATGTCAATTAGCACAAAATTCAGGCCTTGATTCATTGCTCCTACAATGCGCCTTCCTGGGCTTATGTGATATCAGCATGAAAACCCCACCCCCTCCCTCTATCTCCAAAGGCCAAAAAAAAAGAAAAAAAACCCCAAACAACCAACCAAAAAACCCCAAACACGGAAAAAACCAAAACCTCAACTGTTTCTACCTAGGCACAGCGCCACCAAAGAACACACAGGCATTAAGGTAGCCTCATGCTGTTGACAGCAATGAGTTTTTTCTAGAGAAACGTGTCTCAACAAATGCTTCCCTCAAGCACAGCTGTAAAATAAAATCTTTTCCTTGCAGTGGAAACATGGTGGGGTGGGGTTTCCTTGCACAGCCTGCAAGTAGCCAGCACTAGTATTTCCTAGGAAGGTTTCTGACTGTTTGGGTTGTGCTATTGCTTAGATAAGGCAAAGCCAGTAGGGAAAGTGGAATGGTTCATTAATTGGAGTGCAACTGCTCCCAGAGGCTGCGAAAGGAACACAGAGCACGTACAGGGACTGCTGTTTATGTTACATCCATTGATGTGGCTGGGACCTGCTGGGGCTGGGAACAGGATGCTGCCAGCACACAGTGATTGTGCCTTTCCTTTGTTCCTGTAAGTGCCTTTGGAACCACTGCCTGAAAGGAAACGGGCATGTGGACACGCTGGGAGATAAGAAATGGTAGGGAACCACCGAGCTTTCTGTGTGGGGTGTGCATGGCTTTTAGCCTGTTTGCCACAAGCTGCTCCCTGGCTGTAGCTCTGAAAATAGAGGCTGAGGCTCAGGCTCATCCGTTCATCTCCTCACAGCAGGGTAAGACTCTCACCACACAAACGTCCCCGGGTGGTGTTTTTCTGAAGCTGAGGTTTTTTAATTGCTAACAATAGAAGGGAAGGACATGAGGGCTTCATGAGAAAGTGAGTTACCCCTGCAGAAGGCCCAGGAAGCATGTTAGAAAGCTGGGGAAGGGACAGCCCAGGAAGCATGTTAGAAAGCTGGGGAAGGACCACTACGCTGCCCTGGGACAGTGCTCCTCAGTGCCCCTGGATTATGGGCTGTGAGGCAGTACACGCACAAAGCCTGCTGCCAGGGAAAACCATGGCTGTGAGATAATATGCAGTGAAAAACAACTTTGTAAAGAAACTAGGGATTGTATGGTATTCATTTCAACACAATGCATTAAGACCTTAACATGGAAAATCAGACACATTTCTGTCATTTTCCCAAAGCCCCAAAAGCACCAGGGCCTCACGCGGCTTCCCAGCCACATTCACAGTTGCGTAAGTGGTTGCACATCTTGCACTACCTCTTGCCCAGAGACCTTCCTGCCTCTCTCCTCTGAAGCCAGTGCCATACACCCCTTGCCACGTCCCCAGAAACACTTCTGCCTGGAGGACCACTCCCTGATGAAGAACTGCATCCCTTCTTGCATCACCTGGTGATGGTCATCTACCTACTCCAACAGATGAGCTGTTGTCCACCACCACCACCGATCTGCACCAAGCCAGCGTGCTCTGCGCTGGAACTGCATTAACTTAGCATGCTCTAAAGTGTGACCACAGTTAATCAATTTATTAATTTAATATTTGTACACCTCACTGACCTCTTTCTGGGTGATGCTAATATCTTTTGGCGTTCCCAAGTACTTGTTTATAAAAGTGATGTTGTCGGCTAAATACCCTTTAACTACCGCAAATGTAGTGCCACATACACAAAGCATACAAACCTGAGAGTTTCTTAGCATGCCCTTATCCATGCTCCCTCCCTCCAACACTCCCAGTTGGCCATGGAGCTGGGATCACACCAGTCATGTAAAGTCTAGTTTGTAGCTGTGCCCTTGGATCCCACTGAGACCAGGGAGGACAAATGAAGTCTCGGTCTCAGCAGAAAGGGTGTATCTAACCACTGAAGAGAGCAACAAACTTCTCCAGGGAGCTAGACCTGGACTGTTGCTGCCATTAGCAAATGGGACACAGATTTCCTGAGAGCATCAAGGAACAAGTGGGAGAAGGATGTTGACCGGGCAGTGGAGAGGAATTCATCAGCACTGACAGGATGGACACATCCTGCCTGGCATGGCCAAGGCAAATCAAGTTCTTAATTATGAGCACTGAGCACTCCAGCCTGCTAGTCCACCCAGCAGTTTTCAGATGGGTCATGCCCAAGGCACTGACATTGTGTGTGCCTCAGGAAGGCAGGAAAGCCAGAGACGATCTTTATTGTTCCTGCTCTGCACCTACCACAGTGGCCCCCAAATTCTTGGCTGCGCCTCTTTGGTGTTAATGCAAGATAGAGCAAAAATAACACCAGCAGCCAACACAGGGACACCTTTTCACAGAAAAGCAATGCATGTTTTGCTTTGTCCTTGGTTACTAGCCCTCAGTAATCACATTTTGCAATATAAACAAGATGACAAAAACCCCCAAATTTCCAGATAATCCAAAAGTGCTTTCAATTCCTGTCTAATGTGTCTATATCAGTGGCAACTGCCACTGTGACCTCTGGTGGCAAATACATAGTCAAATCTGTTTCTTGCTCAAGGGAAGGAGGACTTTCAGTTGCCTGCAGACTTTCAGTGAGCACCACAGGATGGAGAGCTAAGGCTTCCCATCCACCAGATCAGCGTGTGGCATCTGAGACCTTCTCAGTATCAAATGGGCTGTGTGATCCTGAGTGTGGTCCTTTGCCTGCTGCTTCTTTGAAGGACAAGGGTTCAGGGGAAGGGGAGCTGAGATTTCTCCCCAAACCTAGGCATTACCTTGGCTCTTTTCCCAGCCCCAGGTCTCACAAACACATCTTGGAGGGCTCGCACACCATACTGACGTTGTTTCCCTGACTCTGCATGTGCCTCCCAAGTCTTTCACTTGCACCTCAGCACAGGGGGTGTCCCATGACACAGGACAGGCAAGGTGGTAGCTAAGCAGAAGCAAGTCTTACAGTTGGGCTTTTTAGCTCAAGCTCAGAAACAGCTGAACCCAGCAAGGGTAAAACCAAATCCTCATCAGAGTTATTAGCAAGATTTCTTTTGTGCTGCTTTGCTCTTTTATGCAGGAGGCCTGATATGTGTCCCCTACCATCAGCACAGGGTCCGGGGCCCACAGCCATTCTATGCTATCTGCAGGCTGGCCCCCAGTCCCTCTGCAGACTGAAACACAACAAAAGACATTCTCTGAGCTGGCTCTTGGCATGTCACACTCAGGTCCCCATGCCCAGCTCACCTCCTTTCAGCCAGAGCCCTGCAACTTCCTTGGAAGTGATGCCTGGGGAATTTAGGGCCGTTTTGCCTTTCCTATCTAGCCAGACCCTGTCCCATTAGGTCGCTCCCTTTATATGGATCACAGATAGCTTAATTATAATGCAAACCCCTGGGGAAACACATGACCCCTCAGTCAAAGTGTGGTACCTTTCCAAGTCTCTGAAGACATCTTAGTGCTACAGCTGACAAGATTTGATAACAACATGTTTTGTCCTATATCCTTCCTGCCACAGTTTCAGTCTTAGGTTTGGCCATTAATGGTGTTTCCTTAAAGTCAGGAGCAGAAGAGGATGTTAACAACCAAGTCCCGATCCAGCAGCTGCAAAATGAGGATTTGCCCAAGAAAGACAGCACTTTTCTCACACAATCCTCACAGCAAAGATGGGCTGCAGACCAAATCTTGTGTTCTGCTCTGGGCTAGAAGGAGCCCTGACGCCATTGTAAATACACTGGAGGTAGAGACTAAGGTATTAAATTATATTGATCTGTTTTTTCTGCTAAGGAAAGCTGGGGGCTGGGAGGAGACCGCCCATTATATAGGAGCTTAAGATTTATGACGAGCAAAAGCAGCAGCTGTTTCTGTAAAAAAGGGCCAGCTGCCAAACTTAAAACTGTTCAAATACTAGAAGAAGGGAAGGCAAATCCTTTGAGATATTGAGGTTCCTCAGAAATGCTGCTGGGCCATCACTAAAAAGGATTTTTGCAGCAGATCCTTTGCCTAGAACTGAGTCTCCCAGGACCACAGAAGTTTTCTGACTCTTAAATTCTCACCATTCTCACCCTTCCCACCACCCTGTCCCCGAGGCGGGTGTTCATTTCAGAAAAAGTCAGTTCCCAGCATTTAGGCTACACTGGAGAAGTGGGATCAGAGGTGGCTGCTGGGACAGATCAGGTCAGCTGGCCTCGCTGCAGCAAATCCCATCCCTGGGAATGAGCATTTTTCCTGAGTCTCTCCCTGGCCTTATGCTGGGTCTTGCTTCTGCCATTTGGGAAACAAATGGATGCAGAGCAGTGGATGGCAGAGCTCAAACAGCACATTGGTAAGGAATATAAAGCTTTTTGCGTGGTTGATGGCAAAAGCCTCTTCCATTGCCAGGAAGGAACAAGTAGTTCAGAGTAGGAGGTGAAGGTGGGTTTGGGTACTGCTCGCTGCCGGGGCAATCCCCTCCTGTCTCCTCACGGCTTCCTGACGTGAGGACAAATTACTGAGGTGGACTCTGCTACCAAATCCAGATCCTTAGCTTAAAAATGTCTCTGATTCTCCTTTAAGCCCCCCAGCCCTCTTCATCAAAGTTTTTTACCTCATCCAGGGCCAAGTTTTCTTCCAGTGAAGGGACTCTGTCTGGGCCGCACAGCTGCAAAGTACTGCTTTCAGTCCCCAATCTCCAGCAGTAAAATATTTGCAGCAAAAGACCTGACCTCATTCATCAGAGAATTGGCCACTGATGGCTAAGAGCAAATCTAGCACAGGACCTGCCAATAAGGATGATTACATGCTGGAGGTTTTCTGAGATTACTTGCTTGCTGCAGGGAGCCAAATAATTGCATAAAGATTTCAGAAAGTCCAACCTTACACAGCCCCAGAATATACAAACACCACCTCCAGAGTTAGAAAACCCAAGCCTGGAGATGACAGTTGAGCACAACTGAAGAAAAAGAGCAGCAAACAGGTGCTGTGAATCTGTCCCCCGTCTCTGCTTGTACTAACTAATTACAGAGCTACATGGCCCCTCCACTGACCCTTCCTTCACAGCTGAACTATCAGTGAGGGAAACACAAGGGCTCTCAGGTGTTTTCCCCAGCCCACCAACCCTCTTGTTAAAAGACAAGATTGGTGTTTGGGAGAGGTTCATTTTAGTTATTCTCAATAAGTTCAATTGAAAGTTCTATTAGGAGCACACAAAGATTCTGTCTTAAACAGCAGCATCTTAAACCAACACAGTATCATGTAATGCCCCAGGAATTTCATTACTGCTAATGACAACTCACAGAGCATGTGGTTTGAGTTTCTTTTCTTTTTTTTTAAAGTAAATAAGACTTTTTAATTAAAGAATAAAATTTCTAAGTAGGTCAGAGATTAGGTGCTGCTTTTACCTTCTAAGACTTTAGGCGCCAGACCAGTGCAATTGGTTTCATGTCTATCCTGGTTGTCCCAGCATCCCTGGGCAATGTTCCTAGGAGGCAGGGAGGATTTGCAGGATGAAAGGGGTGGCTGCTGGGGGGGCACCCCAGGGGCCCTGCAGAGAGAGGGTCTGTGGGATCAGTGGGGGAGAGCAGGGACAAACTGGCGCTGTGGAATCTCTCTGTGGTGTGCCTGGAGGGTCTGGTTGCAATGACTCCTGCTCTCACCAGTGGGGCGGGCAGGCAGGCTGACAGGTTCAATTACAACATGTGGTTTTCATTTGATTGTAGCTTTGCCATACCCAAGCCACCAAGGCTAATTTTTTTCACATGGTGCTATGGAAGCTGCTCTTTTATTTTTTGTGTTTCCACTAAAAGCATTCAGTGATTACCAAAACATTAGACTGAGGAAATTTTTTTATTTACCTTGTTTTACTCGCTTTAAACACCTCTAGAAAATTTGTTAGAAGGCTTTGCAGTGTGGAAGTACAAAGCCAAAGATGTAGTCTGCCTCCAATTCAAACAATTTGCACTAATTTGGCCAAGATGTTTGCTTTGGGGGAAAAAAAAACCTAAACCAAACCTGATCATTAAACATTTTGATCATATTGATCATATAGATTTTTTTACTTATTTTTATAGATGCAAAAATGCATATATGTGTGGTTATTAATGAATGAACCAGTTTGGGTAGATTAATTATCCTGTGATTTCTAAGCAATGATAGCAAAAACCAGCTTGTTTCAACGCTGAGCTGCAGAGCTTAAGCACAGCTTCGTCAAAAAAACTGCATGTGGTTAACAGCCATGGCTTTGGGGCATGGAAAAAACAAGGAAATTATTATCCTCAGTACTCAGTGCTCCCCAGGCTGGACCATAAGCAAGAAGAGTGGCCATGTCCTGCCTCAAACACAAAGGAGACGGGAGAGGAGTGAGGTGGCTGAGATGTGGAGGCAGCATCAGGGCAGAAGAAAGCCCCTAAGGTTGAGCAATTTGGGAGCAGGAGTGAAGGTGTTGTGCTGGTAGGCTGAGAAGACCAGAAGTAGTGACTGCACAGGCTCAAACACCGGCACAGGGAGATGGGTACACATGGGAAAGAGCAGGCACAGAGCTAGGGGTGAGGCAGCAATTAGGCTGGAGAGAGAGCAGCAGCACGGGTAGCAAAGGGCCCAGCAGGGACTTGGGGGCAGCAGTACAGGTCTCAGCTCTTGCGCCGTTGGGAATCTTGCCATTCGTGATTGCTCACCTAACTCCTCAACTCTTTACATCATTTCAAGTCCAAATAGACAGTGTAAAAAATTTGCAAATGTCTGCATAACTGCAGAAGAAGAGTGAAGACCTAAACACATTCCTTAGTAAGAAAAAGATTAAATATTTCTTCTTGTTTCCTCTCTCCTACGTCTCACTTCGTTGCTGAAGTTTAGTGGCAAATGAAGTGGCAGCTCACAGGTGGGGACATTAGGGCCTAATGGCTAAGCAGCAGCAGTAGCCAGCCAGCCAAAGCTTCTCAGTTGTCAACCTGATCACAGATTTCTGTGGGTCTCACTTCAGCACATTCCAGCTGATTCTACAGTACTTCAAATTAAAAATTACAATAGCTGCAAAACAAGTGCTATGATTTTCCCAGCAGATCCTTTGGGTAATCCAATAATGTATTATCCTCTATTTCCACTAATACTAATTTAAAAGATACTTATGCCACCCTCTGAAGAACTACCCTTTTAAAAAAAAAAACATCTAATTCCTTGACATACATGCAGCCACTGTACATTTTCTCCAACTACTCACAAATGCCATGTCAGCATGTCATTGCAAGCACCAGGTGTGACATGGTGTAATGGCATCACCTCTTATCTCACTCCCCCAGCCACAAGGTAGAGCACACAGCTGCAGCATCCATCGCTGGAGCAGCCAACACCACATGTAGTTTGTGAAGTTCCATCCTTCTACTCTCATGTATACAAGCGTTTAAGAACTGAAGTAACAGTAATAGCAAAATAATAACCTAAGAGTCAAAATGTTTAAGAGAGAAATTGTTACACAAACTGAAGTGTTACAACCCGGGCTGCTAGAGAATTTTTTTATTTTTTTTTTTCCTTCCAAGTGATGTAAGTATGTCTTTTGTACTTATACTGTCCTGGCTGAATTTAAATTAAATCTGCTCTTTGCTTTACAATACAGTGTCTTTCTTAATAGCAGACACACCTGTTGCATGCTTTAGCCCAGAAACACACACCCTAAAGGCTGGGATGCCCAGTTCCCCTTAGCCTGCCTGCCTTCCTTGCCTCTGCTGAAGTCCAGCTGCAGCTCTCTGCTCGCTGCCCTTAGTTTTTCCTTTATTTATTTCTAAGCCACTTATCTAACAGACTTACCACCATGAAGTAAGCAGTTAATTTCCTGCTTCCCCACTTAAAAACAACCTTGTATTTCTATACTGTAAATATTTATACCTTCCAAAAGGCCAAGGATTTGCAGGGCTGCAAATTTTTGTGACATTCAATAATGAAAATAAGCATTGCCCACAGAGACAGGGCTCCACTGTCTCTCTGAGCAGCTCCGCTGCTGACAGGGAGCACCCAGGGAGCAGCAGCATCACTGCTCAGCCCCAAGAAGCAGGGACGGGGCAGACACCCAGCTCACACCTGTAGTTAGTGCATGTACCTGTCTGTCAGTCCCAGACCACGACGCACGCGATGTGTAACCTGAAAAACGGAGAGGTCTGTGCACATACCGTCCGATGACAGAGCAGGTCTCGGTGTCAGCAGCCACAGCACCGTGCAGGTAGTGCTGGGGACCACACTTGGGTTGATTCAGGATGACCACGAGCGCAACAACCACTGCCAGCACACCTAGGGTCAGCAGCACCAGGCAACAGATCTTCCCCGTAGACATGTCTATTCCTATGACGCTGGAGGCGGCTGGGAGGCTTTTACTCCTTTAGCGAAGGCGCCTGCTTTGCTCAGGGTGGAAGTGGAGGATCCCGGCAGTTTTGGGAGGGAGGGAGGTCTCACTGGAGTGTGCTCTGCCCCCTGTGGCTGAGAATTACATTCTTTTTAAGATTAAAAGCTGTTAAAAAGAAAACGGTGTGCTCTTCCTTTCCTGCTCTCTTATATGTGAGAGGCTTTTCATGCTCTTTTATAAAGTAAACTTTTTCCGGCATATCCACCATATGCCTTTTTTTTTTTTTTTTTTTAAGTTTCTAATGAGAACAGTTAACACATTCACTGCTGGAGCACCTCAGAGTGAAACCTCTACACTGCTTATTGGCTTCACACAGCCTCCCTGTCTTGACATTCTTAACACACAGAGCAAATTACCAAAGAAAGGCAGTGTACATGATGAATCACTGGGAAAATTACAATATCAATCCTACATTGCAAACTTAATAAGACTACTCAGAGAAGTAAAAGCCACATATAAATACAAAGCTGGAACTTTCGTATTTACTCTTACTTTACCTTATAATTTATTATAATCTTGCTTATTTACTTTTTTCATCATTAAAACTTGCCAGTGTTCACAACATACATCTTCTGTAAATGAGCATAACAGAGTACCTTGACTAAAGCAGCACGCCTCTGCACTTCTGCAAAACATGAGAGCTAAAAGAGCTGGGATCCAGCCTCTACCAGTCAGCAACCACAGCACCCTGGAGTGAAGGACTGCAAAATCAGACTGGACCTAATTCCTAACAGAGCAGCGATGAGCAGCATGAATGGCTACACAGTGCAACTGGCCCCTGCTGGCTCCTTAAGGGCCTCTTAATTATACAGTGCTCATAGCACTTAAGAAGTTAAAGATACAGCCCCGTATCTGCCTGCTGTCTTTCTAAAAGATGCTATCTGTGATTCTCTTCCTGCTAGATTTTGGGGAAGGGGAACTCACCTGCTCAGATTTACACCTGTATTTCAGTATAGACTTTGAACCTGTACCCACATAACTTTATCTCATAGCTAAGTAATTCTATTTTGTGTATCATATCTCAAGAAATGGATTTGATAGACTAGACTGCCTTTTTTTTTCTTTTTTTTTTTTTTTTTTTTTTTTTTTTTTTTTTTTTTTTTCAGTTGTATCTTCCTGTAAGTCTTGGGGAAGTGAAAATAACCCAAGAAAAATATATGGGTTTGTCCAAGATAAAACTATGGTCCCTGGGGAATAATTTCTTGGTCTCCACATCTGTGTCTGCCTTGGCGAATATACTTGGCATGTGTAACAAGCCTCCACAGCTCTAATGTGACTCTTGATTTCACCCCATTGCAAAACATTGCTGATTTTGTAAAATTTCTCAATCCCTTCATGACTCCACTTCTTTTTTGTGTTTCATTCTTGTTTCATTTTTGACTACTTATTCTATAAAACTTAAAGAATCATCACTCTGGTGTTTTTTGGGAAAGCTCTTTCCTGTAAATTCATAGCAGAGCTGGAAACCTTGACTACTCAGCACCAATAGACTTAAGGCTGAAGTGGATTTTGCCCATTTGCTTTCATCAAATGCCACAGAGAATTCAACTGCAGTCTCCAAATTTCTATCAAATTTTGTTCTTAACTCAGCACATCAAACATCTGTATCTGGAAAATTACCTTTATGCTGCCAAGGAGGAGCCCTGGAAGAGGCAAGAAAGGTAAGACAGAGTGTCATCTCCCAGACCACGTCTGGGAATGAGAAGGCCAAGATATAGTTATGACCTATTCCTACAGATGCCTTCCATAGCAAACCTATTCATCTTTTAGATACATAAATGAAGACTGAGTCTACTTCTTTCTTTCAATGTATAATCTTTACAGTCATGTTGGTGCAACACTCAACTTTGACCATATTATACAAAGTCTGCACTGACCCTCCCATGTGAGAGCCTGCTTAGCTGTTCACACACTAGGGCTCAAGACTGGGACCTCTATTTTTCTGTTTGTTTGTTTCTCAAAACTTTCACATTTGTCCTCACTGTCTGGGAGCACAGTTTGCCTTGGCATAGATCTTGAAATGTAGCACTTCACTGCACAGGCTCTCTGGTCCTCCACTGCAAGCATGAAGGGCTTTGTTTCCTGTATGAAAAGGAGCTCAGGTATTTAAAGACCCTTACAGGCCAAGATATACTCAAGGAGATTTTAATTAGAATTGTAATTATTAAAAGAATCACCATTTATTAACTAATAAAGAGGGACAGTATATTTAATTTGTCCTTTATATGGTTACAGTCTTGTCACATCTTTGTCCAAATCTTCAATCAAGAGACCAAAACTGAACATGATTAACATCTGAAGAACAGGCATTGATAAGGTTGACATGAACACCACAGCTACCTTATGGAGGGTAACAAGTCATCAAGGGATAGAAATACTCAGAATTTAAGAGCAGAGCATAAATACTAAGTGAAGGAGTTGGGAAGAAATTCCCCTAAGTGATAGGTTTTTGCAGAAGTGTCAAAGGACCTCAGCCATTGGGCTGAGTTTGTGGGGACATTACCTGGGGCAGTTAGTCTAATCCCATCATCTAGTGACCAAAGGGACCAGTGCAGGCTCTGGAGGCACCAGGAGCTTCTCTTTCAGCCTTACTGAAGGTGCCCAGTGTGCACCTTTGCTTATTTTGGCACCAGTGTATTGCACTAAGCCAATGTAATTTTACCTCAAGCTCCAACATGTTCTTGACACACTGAGCTCTATCTGTAAAGCCTGCTTCTCTGACAGTGAAGCTGGTTTCAGATGATGACTGGCATCTGGCATGTTTGAGGAAAAAAGGGTGTTTGCTGGTTGAAAGCCAGTCCTCATAACAAGCCTGAGGATCCTGGTGGTGAGGAGACATTCCCAAAGACCACCGTCATTTACACTGCTGTACGCATGCTTTGCGTTCAGCAGAATAAATTTGGAGATGCAAAGAAGCCATCTTCTGAGAGGACGGAGATCCCTCTGCTGAAGCAGGATTCATGACAGTCTGGGGTCAGACTAGAGAAAACAAGGTTGCTGCCTTGTCTGCAGCAAAAGAGTACATTTGTGGCATGAGCAGCATTTCGAGCATTGTGGTTTTTTCCATGCATCCTTTTCTTCAGTGCTGCTTTCCTTTGATTGAGGGGGAAGAAAAGAACATAAGTGGATGGAAAGCCAGACATTTCTACTCAGCTAAGAAAAGCTAAGATATTGACCCTCAATTTATCACTCTTCATTTCATCTTTTTAAAAATATAAACTAAAAGAACACTAAACATACACCAAACTCATGAGGCATTCCTATGCTACCGTCCTAAGCATCCTCCTTTGCCTCTGCCTTTACACTGTCCAAATTACATTGCGCCATACTCAAGAAAATGCCTCCTTCTGCTGGTGTTTGCTTGCAGAGCAATGTCTACAGGCAGCAAGCTCTAATTGTAATAAATAAGAAGTGCATTTTTCATTTCCCAACTCCATTGGACAAGAGTCTAGGGAAGTTTCAAGAGCATGCAACCCAAAGCCAAACTGGATGTATTACATACACCATTTGTCTCATCCTCCAGTCATGTTTATTTGTAACCCAGGAATATCAGTCATCTCTATCCAATAATCAAATTACAACAATATAGACAACGTTCTGGGAATTTATTGTTCAGATCTTCTAAGAGAAATGGCTGTGAGTTCCACAGATGTTGGTGCTTATGAGCCATCTGTCTCAGTACGATTCTTCAGAAACTAAGAAATACTAACCTTTGCACATTGTTTTCTTTTGCACACAAGTAAGTTTTTTTTATTGAGAAACATGGGTTTGCTCCCATAAAAATCAAGTTTGTATAGTTTTCAGACATCTGAAAAAACAGATACTCAGAAACCGGAAATTTTGAAGAACTTCTCATTCATGTCTCTCTTTCTTCTGTTATTTCCCAGAATTCAGGGTGACAGTTAAGCCTATAAACTCCTCTGACTCAGGAAAATAAACTCTGCTTCTTTTTGTATTGAAATCAGAAAAGGGAAACATGCTTTACAATTACTCACGGATTTACGTTCTACTGAGATTAACATTCAAGTACCGGCTGAATCAGGGCTTTTTGGTTTTCCTGTTAATTTCAAAGAATGCCAGGGAACAACTCTCCAGGTTGTAGCTGAGAAACTTGGCAATACTTCATCTCAAATCTTGAAAACACACTTCTGGCTGCAGCTGTAATGGTTACATAGATTCTTCCTACAAGCCCTGAAAGGGTTTGAGAATGCTCACAAGCAGTCCCACGTGTGGGAGTGCAGCAGCAGGGCAGTAAAGGATGACTGGGAGTGGGCAAACCTACATCTTGAAGAGGACATCTATCAATAGTCCAATACTACTCTGGCACTATTTTCCCCAGCCACGCTAACTTTTAGTTTCCTACTGTGAGGGATCTCTGTGGGCTGCCAGCACGAACAAAGCGAAAGCACTTGAACAGGACAGTCACAGGACACACATCATGCTTCACATCACTGAAATCAAAAGAAGGACCCAGCAGAATCTCAGGGACTCCTATATCTTTGTTGAATTTTCCTAGTTTAAAGGCAAAGCTGCTACCTCCTCCTTCCGTTCCTGCTGTTTACAAAGTAATAACTGAAAGAAATGCTCCCTGGAGCCCAAACCTAAACATCCTCTATTCTTCAGTTCAATCAACATATTGAAAGTCAATTATTTGCACGGCTCTACTTAGTGGCACAGACCACTGCTCAAGGGAAACTTTTCTCCATTAACTTTTTTTGATGAGTATATCCAGGCACAGTTTACTGCACAGCATCAGCATTTTATTTTTTCTATAACAGTGCAGCTATGCTCAAGATTAGATTAACAGTGAAACCTTCTGACTCAGTCTTTAACTCTTGAGCGTTCTTCTGGAGCAAATCCAGCAGGAAATATTTTCTTAAAGACAAAACCTCATTAATGCAATTACTATAGCAGCTGAAACTATTGACACTAGAAAACAAAAGGGAGCTTTGTGTGCATCCAAAGACACCAACAATAAACTCTGTCTGAACTCTGTATTGACTAAATTAGGCCACAGTACTACGGTAGTGACACCAAAGGATATCCGTGAAGGGATGTCCAACTAACATGTAAGTACTAAGCTCATTGAAAGCACTAAATATAACATATTTATAGTTAAATGCACATGTACCTGTATGTGTCAATCTACGCAGCTGCCATCATATGCTTTATAAGATCTCAGTGAGACACAATCAGTGGAATGATGGTTCACTGCCACGCTCAGTTCAAGAGTTGTGGGATCGGGCTTTGCTCCCTGGGTTCTGTGCAGCCTGGAGGTCCCCTGGTCTGCACAGAGCGCAGCACGAGGCAGCACGAGCCACTCTGAACTCTTGAGCTCTTTAATGCCAAAAGCCCTAGAAGGATGTTCAGAAAAAGGTGTGCTGGTTGAAACACAGTTGACAAGTCAAAAATGAAAACAATCAGGACAAAAATGCACTCTGAGTGGCAAGGGATACATGCAAATCTCTGGCTAATACTAAATTAAGCAGCAGCGCGTCATCCACAGAGACCTTGACGAACTTGAACAGAAACCTCATGAAATTTGGTAAAGAGCAGGGCAAAAGGTCTGCCCCCAGCCAGAATAACACCATGCTCAGCACAGGCTCTCTCGTGAAGGGCCTGGGCTTGCAACAGGAGCCAGGCTGACCATGTGCCACAACATGTTCATGCTACAAACCTGGCCAGCAGAT